ACATTAAATGTCATCAAAACGTTTTCTCCTAAAACTACGTTCCGGAAACCACACAGAAAGATTCACACACACACACACATACAAACTCTGACATTTATTAGTTGTCAGGTTTTTTAAAGTAAATGTTACATTCAACAGTTTGCCACCTTTTGAGATCGGACGCCTGTGTGCATCGTTGCGCATCTTTAAAAATCCCTTGGCAGATGGAAATCTAAAAGAGTAGCCTAACGGCGCTGCACGCAAAAAAATTTGAAGTTTAAAATCTACCCACAGTATTTCAGGATCCTCGCCGGTGCTACAGAGCCTGTGCACTGTGCCTAGCTACTTCGGACTCAGAATTGAGTTAGAAGAAGAACGAAGCACTTATGGGTTTACTACCGTGTGCGATGATGTTGATCCGTTGTTCAAAACCTAAAGCCTGGCAAATGTTCATACTATGGCAACAATGAAGTCTTAATTATCCATGTTCTAATTGGGAAAATTGTTTTATTAGTGTCAGCGAGTCTTGCTAGCCGTGATTGCTGTTTCTCCCTGTAGAACCAGTAAGCATCGGTGGCTCAGGCCTTGTGAACGCACTTTGTAAACTGGGGTGCTGGGTTTGATCCCAGATGCAGGCAATTTGATAGCAATACATATCGCGTTGGTTTTGACAGTGCTACCGAGAGCCGAACTTACAGAAAGCAATGGCAAACTACTAAACGTTATATTTGTCTTCAAAAACCATAAAAGCAAAAAAATTCTGGGGTTGATTCTTCAATGTCCTGTAAAGGATACACAACTAATTTAACTACAGCACAATATAATTTATTGTCTGGAAAGACACAAAAGTGCCAACAACAAGTTTGCCATTGCTGTCTGAAAAATACTATACAAGATGTTATCAAAGTCAACGCAAATCAGTCTGCTACGGAGATTCCAGCTGCTACTGACAAAAACATGAGTTAATTTATTAATAAAATAATTACATACACAAGTAAAACAATATTAATTGTAAAATCCTAGTGGAAAAGCAACAATTTTCCTCTATATTTAGCAAGAATAAAAGCACAAGCTATCAATGACATACATCTCAAAGAGCTGTTTCAGACATGAGCTACATTCCTCTTTGTCTTCCATGTTCTTCATGTGGAATGGGTTACATCAATCCAGAGGTCGCCAGTGGTGAGAGTCACGTGAATATTTTGCTTGAGCCAAACAGGTGTGTTTGGGAATGAGCAGGCAGACAGAATGGCTGGACTGATTCCACTGGAAAAGGTGGGTGGGGGGGAGGGGGGGGGGGGAGAATGACTCTGCACAAGACAGATATGATCACTTGCATCTGGAGCAAGGCAAAAAAGTAAACCGGAAAATAACTGAAATACTGTATAATGCAGTGCGGTGTGTTTGCAGGCTCCGGGCGCCACTCGAGACTTGGTGGGAAAAGTAAGACGATTAGTTAGATGACAACAGGTACCATCAGTACTGAGACTCTTCACTGGCTACTGAGGAGGGGGACGGAGCAAATATAGACTTGTCGTGAATGCTGCCAGGTTGAATCTTTACCTAGATTTCTGTGTTCTCCCTGAAAAGAACGGCTGGTATGTTGTATTGTCGTTTACAGCTAGCCTGCAGGATCTGTCCCATTTAGCCCAATACATCTGACTGAAGCAACTTCCTAAGCAGTCACCTTTAGCATCATGTATCTTAGGGGGCTGTGGGTCTACCATTGCCCCCTCCCCCCCCCCCACCCTAAATGGGCCCCGGAATCCACTTGGGAAGCTCTATATACAAAACCACTACAATGATATACTAATCTACACCATCAACGTTTGACTAAATATCAGCATTAAGTTATAAAATACATGAGTATCACTTGAAGCATGAGAGATAAAATGTGTGGGATACATAATGAAAATTGAAGATCATCTAACAGAAATACAATCAATCATTTTACAGAACAAGAATTATTTATGTGATTGAATGGTCATCAGTTATTTTACAGGATGGCAAACAAATCATTTTACAGGGACAGCAATACATCATTTTACATGTTCGCAATCAATCAATCATACAGGATAGTGAACAATCATTTTACAGGGACGCCAAGCAATCATTTTTACACATCAGTAAGCAATCATCTGTCTACTGAAGTAAAGTCGCCTGCACTGGATAGGTCATGTCTCTAGCATGGACGACAATCACATCCCAAAGGATCTCCTGTATGACGAACTGGAAGCTGAGAAAACATCCACAGGAAAAATCAAAGCTGTGCTATAAGGACTTATGCAAATGCGGGCTAAAAGATACCAATATTAACACAGAGGTCAGCTGCAGACCGACTACTATGGAAGCTAGAAGTTAAACGCAGCAAACTATACAGAGGAGACATCTGAGGGAAGATCCATCTCAATATAAGGAGTGTCAAAGTTTGAATTGAGTTGAGTTGAGTCAAGAATTGACATCACAGCACTTGGGGCATTGTCATGCATACTCCGTCCTTATCTTCAACAGCCAGCGCAGAGTTCTAATACTGATGGTACCAGTCACAATCTTGTTATATGTCCGTCTTGCCTTTTCTCTGAGTGTAGGGAGCCCACCAGACAATCTGGTTACACCCAGGTGCCTTATTCTCTCCACGCCATAATAATCTTCTTTCTCTACTGATTCTGTTGCTTGTTCCCAAAGGGCCTTGACCACATCTGCCTTGGCATGTATCAATTCACCACCCAGTGATGCAGATCCAGCCAATCTGTGTGCCTGTTCATTACCCACCACACCGACATAGCCTCAAGAAAAGTTTGTATGCAGATTATGAGGCAGATACTGAGAATCCTGCAGCGAACTTAACAGTAACAGCAAAAACTGTTCCCAAAAACCAGCAGCACAGTTCCATGGTCCCTTGAGACTGACGGCTGTCAATCAATCAATCACCATACAGGAAATCAATCAGTTAGTCTATCCTCTTGAACCTACGGTGGCGCAGAGGTCATAGAACTCCATGTCTAGCAGTTCATTGCCACCTGCTGTAGGTCTTGGATGTTTGTAAGGCCCATAGTTGAGCCTTCCCTGATGATGGTTCTACACAGAGTCTCTCTTGGTCTTCACCGTTTTCTTGTTTCCTTCTGGAAATCACACAAAATGTCCTTCACTGTTCCTTTAACAACTATGAAAAACTTGTCAGCCCCAGCAAAATCCTGAAAGCGTACATGCAAAGCAAAAATGCATAAGGCAGCTGCCAGATGTGCCAACATTAATGATCCATTACCAGAATTGCAGCTTAATGTTAGCACAGTCACGAAAATTGGCATTGCACCTGGAAAACAGCATGTCATTCTGAAAGTATTTGGCCACCCGCCATTTTTAGTGGAGTCAATAACGCACCGCGGACACAACACAAAAAAGCGTTCCACTAAAAATCAACAGCTCAAATTGTGGCATCAAACACTCCACTCAACAGCGGGGCGATGGAAGCTTTGGACTCCTGGTCCAGAAATGGGGAATTTGCATCAGCAAAACACAGCAGCAAACAAATAAATGTTTAGAACGCCAACCAGCAGTCAGCCAGCTATCAGTCTTTCTCCAATGCAGGTGCTTGATACATTTTTCGGGGATACAGCTGGCAACCAATCACAGAGACTGACCCATAGTGGATACAACTCAGGGCGTTGAAATCTTCTTCGGTTGTAAACTCCTGTGGAAACTTTTGGTTCTTCGTCCATTTCCGGGCTTTAGTCTTGTTCTAGAACTTGAGTTTTTGCATGCACATCCATTTTACAGATCTGGCTTATTTGCATGCAGACTGCTGGTTCCTCATCTCTCAGGGAGATGCACTGCAGCTTCACAGGAAACTCCTCTAATTAGTTGCTCTGTATGACATGCTTATTATGAAGGCCGTGGGCGTACTCTTTTTTCCCCTTCCCAGAATGGGTCATTAACTGGTGCCTGCGCAGAATAGAAGGAATTAAATTGGTATGATAGAATAACTAATGTAGAGCTTTGGGAGAGAACTAAACAGGCTCCAGTGGACCAAGAGGTGAGGAAAAGACGCTGGCGTTGGATAGGACACACTGAGAAAACAGGAGAACAGCATAACTAGAATGTCTTTGCAATGGGACCCTCAGGGGCTTAGGAATAAAGAAAGGGCAAAAAACACACGGAGAAGAGAGCTGGAGAATGAAGTTAGAAAGATGGGGAGACCTCCATGCAATGGCGAAGGATAGAACAGATTGGCGTGAGTTGATCGAGGGCCTATGCTCCATTGGGGGATAGAAAGGCAGAAGAAGAAGAAGAAGAATGGGTCCTGCAGCCCACACAGGGATATGCGTTTAAATCAGTCTTCAGTCCTTCTGACTGTGAACTGCTGCTCATAATAACAATCAACTGTAATCCACAGAATGACAATCAATCCCCAAAAACAAAGGATAACAATCTCCCCCCCCCCCCCAAAAAAAGTGTGTCAATCTTTAAAATATGAACATCACAATCAGAATGACAATAATCCCCCAAACAAGATAGAAGTCAATAATCATAAAAGGAAATCGTTATTCACTTTTCAGGTGACAATCAATCTCTATGCAGAATGACAATCACCAAAGAAATGACAATCACTTTAAAAGATGATAACCACAAAACCCCCCTCCAAAAAAGGATGACAATCAATCACTTTAAAAAATAACAATGACAATCCCCAACAGGAAGGCAATCATTCAGTATAAAAGAAAGCCTGCAATCACTATACAGGTCATTAGGTAAACACTAAATAGATAACAATCGCAATTCCCCAAAACCGGATGCGAATCACTTTCCGCTAAACAGGAATGACTATCGCAATCTATGAAAACAATGCCTGGCAATCACTGTGTAGACGACACCTGCATTTCCCCAAAACAGGAATGACAACTGCAACCCAACAAAACAATTTCTGACCATCACTAAGTAATTGTTACAATCCCCTAAAACAAGATGGCAATCATAATCCAACAAACAGGGTGTCAAACACAATCACTACAACACGATCACACTCAGTCACATTTTTCAACGAAACTGGCTGGAAACATCCCGGTCTTGCCTGTCCTCTCCTGCGTGCCCTTGTACCAGCCATCTTCCCGCTTACGATGGATGTGAATGATGTCCCCTAGCTCCAGCGACAGCTCGTGTTCAGTTTGTGGAGGATACGGTACTATACAACAATATCTGAAACATATTTTTAGTTATTTAGAACATAAAACTAGGAAATACGTCAAGAGCTAAAAGGTTAAAGAGAGGTATGGTTTTATCCCAAACGGCTGCCTGCCGAGAGCATCACATAGAGCATGAACTCTGTAGTTCCTGCGAGATCCCCAGGAATCCCTGTAAAAACTGCACTCGTGAACTGAAGTTCTGGGTGTTCGCCCACTTCTGGATGTTAGTCTTGTTCCACAGCTTGAGTCTGTGTGCACATCTGTTCAACAGATCGGGCTTACTTTGGGGGGGGGGGCAGACTGTTGGTTCCTTGCCTCTCGGGCAGATATGCTATGACATGAAAGGAAACACCCCCTAATCAGTCGACTTTTAGGACATGCTTGCTGGTCGGGCAGTTGGAATATTATTCTTCCCAGCACAATGGGGCCAGCCATGGAATCCACAAAGAGGAAGAGGGATAAATAAACTGGTTGCTACACCAGTCATCTTGACATCCCCATTAAAAAAAAGATTAATCTTGTGAAGTGTCACTTTTACACGATTGAGGATAAGCAAAGAAGTAGACAGGATAAAATCTGAGGGTTACTTTACCAGATGGCAACGACAAGCCAATATCATTTTACAGGGGCAACGGAGGATAAGAAACACACATAATTTTACAGGACAATAACCGTGACAATAACCTCAGATCAATTAATGAAATGGCAATGCAGGATGAGACGTGAAAATCAATTTACAGAATGAAAACCATGCAGGATAGGAACCGAAAACCAGTTTTACAGAATGACACAAAATGGGGTCTAAAGACCATTCTACAGAGGGCAATGCAGGAAGTGAACTGAAGATCACTTAATAATAGGCCAGTGGCAGAAGAGAATCAAGATCACAAGGATAGCAATGTAGGATGAAGATGAGATCAACATTACAAACCAATGCATTCCAGTGGGGGTTCCAAGGCTCCATTTTTTAGAGAGTGAGAGAAAAAAAAAGAACAGATGAACTGCTCTCTAACAAGAATGTTGTAAAAGGCACCTAAATAGGTGTGTGCTGAAATCAGATGGGGGCGCAAATACTGCAGCCTAATTATAAACCACAATAAGTCATGCCAAAAGATGAAGAAGCAGCAGCAGCAGAAGAAGAAGCAGATGCAGCAGCAGCAGCATGAAAGAAAGAAAGAAAGAAAGAAAGAAAGAAAGAAAGAAAGAAAGAAAGAAAGAAAGAAAGAAAGAAAGAAAGAAACGAGAAAGAAAAAAAGAAAGAAAGAAAGAAAGAAAGAAAGAAAGAAAGAAAGAAAGAAAGAAAGAAAGAAAGAAAGAAAGAAAGAAAGAAAGAAAGAAAGAAAGAAAGAAAGAAAAAGAAAGAAAGAAAGAAAAGAAAGAAAGAAATGCACATTCTTCCTCCTCCTACAAACAATATAAAGAAAAAAAAAGACGAACCGTTCTCTAACTGCCAGTTTGGGTCTGGGTTTGGCCGGGATGGGTGGAACAGTCGTGGCATCAAAGGAAGCAGCCTTGCTGTGAGCACTGATCATGCTGGTATCTCCTGCAGCTCCTATAGTGGTCCCATTGACTGGATAGGAGGCAGATCTGCCAGAAACAACCAGCGTCATAATGTGAAGGACGGACACACATTTCGACTGACCATAACTACTGCCATAAACACAGCTGATCAACACAGGCAAATAACTTTAAGTGTGCAAACCATGACACGCCCTCAAAGGTTCCCCTCTGTTTATTTATAGGAATGACATATACACACCGGAACCTATCAATCAAATACCTTTCTTAAATGTTTGTGTATTCTAGACAAAGCATTAAGGTCTACTGTGTTCGTAAATTGTTGCTGTGATTGTTATTTGACATATGCTTCGTTAATATAAATTTCTGTAACCTATGGTGCCATTTCAATGGTTTCAAATGAATTCTGTCCATATTCCACAGTTGTGGATTTCAAGCTGTACGATAGACATGGCCAATAAGACATCTTTTTTGGGGGGGGTTCCTAGTTGACCATGTTCTTAGTGCACTTGTATCAATGGCGAGGTGCAGACGCCGTCTGGAGGTGACAGATAAAATTCCTGGCGTGGTAACTATAGCTTTAGATTTTTATGTTGTCTAGTGTGTTCTTTTATCTTTCTACTTCTTTCTATGAGTGCCGATCAATACACTTTCTGTTACTTGATTAATTCAAACCATGACAAGCAACAATAGCAATATACAAAGTGTGTCTACAATTATACCATATTTTCACATGTATAGGAAGTTCTCTAGGCAAATAGTAATCTGGTTTCTGTTAATGGTATCCCACTTCAAGACGTGGAGTCGTACCCCTATTTGGGCAGTAATGTAGATAGATAAAGATGGGGGGAACTGATACAGATATTAAAATACAAATACAAAAAACAAGAGGAGCTTTCATATCACTAGGAAATTTGTAGAGGTCAAAAGAAATTAAAACTAACACTAAACTTAAACATTTTTTATTCTAATGTCAAATCAGCACTGCTGTCTGGAGCGGAAATACAAAGAACTAAAAAAATTACTAAGAAACTACAAACATTCATTAACTGGCGCCTGCGCAGAACAGAGGGAATTAAATAGTATGATGGGACACTAATGTTGAGCGCTGGGAGAGAACTAAACAAGTTTTAGTGGACAAAGAGGTGAGGAAAAGATGTTGCCAGGCGGATCTGGCTAATGTAGATAAGACTGACGTTTCCTTTGCGGTCACAATGCATTTGCCTAAGAGGCCAAAAAAAAAAAAAACAGACCACCTACCCACAAATAAGCTCAATCGGGGGGGGGGGGCAGGTGTGTGTGTGCATGCAAAACTCAAGTCCTGGAACATGACTAAAATCAAGCAATGAATGAACAACCGGGACTTAGCATCTGTTTACAGCCAGCCAGTCAATGCGAAGAAGAAGAAGAAGACGAAAGAGGAGGAGGAGGAGAAGCAACAACAGATGAAAAAAAAAAAGGAGTAGGAAACGAAAAAAGAAGAAGAGGAGGAGAAACAAGAAGAAAAAGAACCTTCTACATGGAGAGGGCACTTGACCATCGAGTGATAAAACAATAACAGCTACCAGCAAACCTGGAGTGTATGCCTCCATCGAAGCAGACGACAGACATGGACGAGGCTGGTTCAGCATCTGCTGAAGCTGGCTTGTTTTTCTTGCTCTTGCCAGACAATAATTTCACCAGACTTTTCTTTTCCTTTTCTTTTTTCTCTTTCTGTGGAGATGAAAGAAACTTGCAGGGTTACTAGCCAAATTAACCAATCAATTTCAAGGGTTTTCTTGTGAAAGCTTGTATTAAATTCCCCCCCCCCCCCCCTTTTGGGAACTCCGCTTTAAAGAAAAAAAGAACTGACCCTCTGACCCTTAATGAGCATGTCATAAGAGGCAACTAATTAACTTTCTCCTGCAATCAGAAGTGTGGGGCCGAAAGATGCAGATATCATAGCTGAGCTGTGAATCACAACAAAATATGTCAACTGTCCCTCTAAAGACGAACGCAGAAGTATTACATCTTTCAGTCCCATGACACTTCAGACATGTCTGTGAGCCCTTCATTTAAATCACAATTGTGGCATAATAAGTTCTTTTACATTATTAGTTTAGCTTGAGAATGTTAAAGAAACCTGACTTTTGAGTGGCCATCTACATTATGCAGTTAGGCTCTCTGAAAGTAAAAGGTATCTACTGCAAAATGTTCTGGGACTCCCACCAAAAAAAAAGTTAAGGCTGGCTCCCAATAGCAAATTTTAAACTCCACAGCCAGAGCAATGATCCTGAGGGATCTCAAAAGCTAAAAGAAACTACACTCTGGAGCCAAACAGTATTCTTAAATCTTCTGCTAATTACTGATATTTACTTGGCATTAAGTGGCAGAACAAAATCACAAACACTGAGGTACGGGAAAGAGTAGGTACTACAACAGTCTTTTCCATGCTTAGTCTACGAAGGCTCAGGCGGCTGGGTCACACCTGGAGAATGGAGGATGGCAGAGTTCCTAAGGTCATCATTTATGGTGAATTAAAGGCGGGCAGAAGATGTTGAGGCCGATCTCTACTATGGAAATAAAGATGTGTGCAAGTGGGACATGAATGATACAGGTATTGAGGTGGACTCATGGGAACAAAATGCCATGGACCGTGTTGTGTGGAAAGTGCATATCAGGAAGAGAATGAGAGTAAAGCAAAAAATGATTACAGAAAGGATGAGAGCTGAGCGTCTGGGAAGAAAGCGGACTAAACACAAATGTTGACAACAATGGTCCTGAAATCCCATGCTATCATTGTGAAAGACTTTTCTTGACACGGGCGGGTCTTGCTAGTCACACTCGCCATCGCCATGAGCTTTGAGTTCCATGCCACTCATCTTGGCACAATATAACACTATCGTCTGGAAAGACGGAAAAGTGCCAATCAATTACTGATTTAAGAATCAATATTACAGAACATCGGACACACCCACAGATGCTCCGTCTCCCGCAGCAAATGTCTTAAGGTGCAGATTCCTCTCAGGTGTCCCTCCTTGCCAGATCCACTTCTAATTCGAGGCTGACACATTCCTACCCAAGTTACTTTATCCAACCTGGTGTCTTCTATCAGCGTTTGTTCATAAATGGTCTTCAGAATGTGGTCTTCGTCCAGTGTGAGTGTTCTTGCAGCTGTCACTTTTGAGGCCAAAGAATATGCTCATTCATTCCCTCACACTCCTGCATGTCCCCAGACAGCTTATCCATGTTGAGTCCCTGTAATGTTGATCTGCTGATGCTTGTTATCTACTCACGCCACTTTTCATGACTTACAGCTAGGCTGTGATATTTGGCCTTTCGGCCCAACAATTACGATTTCAGCAAACTTCCAATAGGTCCGCCTTTTACGGCATGCTTGCTAGAGGGCAGCATGTGTATTATCGAAACAAAAACAAAAAAAAACCAATAAGCAGTGATCTCTGCACTTACACAGCAACAGGGTTAAGTCACTGGGTATGAATCTTTCCGACATGCAATCCTGATGAAAAGAAAAATGTCTTTAAATAGACAAATATAAAACTGCCTCAATGTGCTTACCTTTTCTTTACCAGCAGATGGCGTGGAGTCTAGGCTATGACTCATGACAACATTGGGAGGGGTGATGCTGGATGAGGCTGACATGGAGTGCTGCATGGCTGTCAGGCTTGGAGGCACCCACAGGGAATGGTGAGGAGATGAGGTAGTGGCGGGCGGCGGCGCCGGAATCACTGGCCTGGACAGGCCCACATGTGGTTGTGCATGAGATGACAAGGATGAATGTGAGAACAAATGCTTCGGAGAAGCTGATGCTGGGCAGGTTCCGGGATTGGAAAGAGATCTGAGCGGAGTTCCTCCAAGATGTGATAATGGTGATCGTGATATTTGGCCTGAAAGCAAGAAAAAAAAACTATTCAGCATTATGATAAAGCAATTTGATACAGACGTAGTGACAGTGGCCAGGATATGCTCATGTGCTCTTCACCGATAGCCAGGCAAACATAGCACCAAAAGCAGCACAACTACAAGAATATATTAATACCCCAGTCAACAGGCGACAGCTATAACTTGAAGATCAACGTGTTAGGAACGATGATATCAGGAGGAGAGTGGGCACAGAACCAATACTGAACTGTATCGCTAGACAACAGATCAAATGTTTTGGCCATGTAACAGATCTGCAACAGACAGAGCATCATAGAGAGCAATGTTATACAGATACAGCGGTAAATAAGCCAAAGACCACGCAGAAGACAGACCGCAGAAAAGCGCTACATACAAAGTGAACAGAAGATTTCTCTGCTGCAAGGCATGCCAGGAGGACAGGAAAGAAGAAGAGAGTTAACAGAGTCAAAGATCTGGTCCATGCCTTTGTCGCATTGGCCATATGGCACTAGATCCAAATTTGCATAAACCAACTGGCACTCAATGGGTGGTGAGGTCGACATTAGGCCGGCCACTTTTGATTAAAATATAATATAAAATAAAAACATATACACCATATCCCATAGAAAAATTTTAATCAATTCATGTCGAGAAAGGCCCCGGCCGAAACTTCAATTTATTTTGTTTTCTGCACGCTGTTCTGCTTTCCCATTTTGCTAAGTTTCTTTTTTTAAGTCACAGGTCATTGGTTTAATTTCTGGGTATTAGCTTGACTGTGAGTTGGTTGAGGGCCTATGTTCCATTGGGAGCTAGAAAGGCAGAAGAGAAGGAAGAGAAGAAGATTAATTTGACTGCAGCCACCCCTGTTTTCCCACAGAACAAACATCAATGTTTTAAAAACACCACCCCTGTTTTCCCACAGAACAAACATCAATGTTTTAAAAAACACCACCCCTGTTTTTCCATAGAACAAACATCACTGTTTGAAAAACACCACCCTTGTTTTCTCATAGAACAAACATCACTGTTTGAAAAACACCACCCTTGTTTTCTCATAGAACAAACATCACTGTTTAAAAAACACCACCCCTGTTTTCTCATAGAACAAACATCACTGTTGTAAAAACATATTTCGATGCGGATCCTTCCCGGCTAAAGAATACACATGCATGGCTGTAAAGCTTGAACTGGAGCTGGTGATATGTTTTTGTTTTCCTATGTGTGGTAACTTATGGGACACCAGATGTATGCATGCATGTACGGGCACGTACACATATACACCCACAAACATACAAATCTCCTGCTACCAATTTTTGGCTGGGTCAACTTGGAAGCCAAGGTAATTTTTTTTTTATGTGCCCAGATATGGGTTTGAAACCAAAACCTTTAGGCTGGCAACAAAGAACCCCTAAACCCACACAAAACAAGAGACATCTGCCATTTAAAAATAAATGCAGCCCCTGTCCCTGTGTCAGTTCTGGGGCCCATTATGTGAGAAACAAGAACAGAGTTACTGCCCCTAGCATGTAAAAGGTCACTAATTAGGATTTTGCTGAAATCAGGTGTCTTCATCATCATCATCATCAATTTCCACATTTGTCATGAAGCGCTGTGGGGAGAAACAGTTTGCAATCCACTACTGCTTGAAGGGCAGCAATGGCTATTGTCATTCTATATTCTCCTAGGACAGCCTCTTGGTTTCACTCATCCTGATTGAGCTGACCGGGCCGTATGAGTCGTGAATGGACGAAAGCCAAATGTACAAGCTCGAGAAGTACAGTGACTTAGCGGCTGGTCTGAGGAGAAAGGAAGCGCACACAGTAAGAGTCTTCGCCGTCAAGGTAGGCGCAAGAGGTCTCGTTTCCACGTCAATGTACATTGTGATTAAGCAACTAGGCTTACGAGGGAATGAACGCAAACGAGCACTAAAACAACTGGGCGAGGTTGCTGAAAGGGCTTGCTCTGGACATAACGAAACGTGGGGGACGGGCCTCGGTGAGCTGGTCCGGGTGTCTAGTGGAAAAGAATGTCTTATCCCTTAAAGTCCATCGTGTCCGAATTGTCTGCCAGTGTCCCTCTGCCACCTGCCAACAAAGTCCAACATGTGTCAGGTAAACCAAATGTAAGCTTGGTCGTACAGGTAAGTTGACTGCTCTAATTATGCTTCCAACGACTTTGTATCTCACAGTACCTTTTGCCCAAAAAAAAAGAAGGAGGACAAAAAGGAGGAGAAAGAGGAGCAGGAGGAAGAGGAGAAGAAGAAGAAGAAGAAAATCTGCTAGCCTGGTGACATGCCTGATGTGCTAATCTTGGCTACCCTGGGCATTAGAGGTGGTGCCTGTGATGCGGAGTCGCCTGATATGTGAGCTGGTCTGTGGTCTCCTGTAGCCGCACAGTGAGATGCTGTAATGGTCTGGGCTAGAGTTGGGGCTTTGGTTCTGGTGTTCAGCAAATTTGGGTTGACTGGTTTGAAAGCACTTGAATGTCTGTGGACAACAGCAAACAGCGTATAAATGGGCAGCAAATACACATCATAAGGTCTGCAAATGGTAAAGAATGCAGTAGGTTTTTGTGTTTGGGGGGGGGGGGGGGGGGGGGGGAGAAGAATCACAGAAGTAACAGAAAAAAGCTTACAACTATTCATCAAAATAAATGAATGGATTTTAGATGAGATCAAAGATATCAAATCAAGAAGAATGTGAACAAGAGGACAATACAATAACATAATGGGGAAGGGGGGGGGGGGGGGGCGGGGGGGTGGCAGCCATATAGTCTAGCAGAAGTGAACAGAATCTAGCCAGCGATGACTACCACTTACTTGACCTGGATGGACAAGGCCTCATTCTATGCCTGACAAACAGGTCATTACTAGCTTAACAAGTATATGCACAGGCTTCATCTAAGGAGCTGACCACTGTGCCCGTGTGTGCAATTTGAAGAACATGTCCAGCCAGTCTGACCCTTGTGCAGCCCTTTAAGAAAGGTACATCAACACCAGACTCACAGTTGTATGGAACTAAAAGGGAACTCCCCCCCCCCCCCCCCCAATTTTACCACAAGAACTCAACTGTCGGAGTAAATCAGAGAGCAATCACCAAAAAGAAGAAGAAGGAGGAGGAGGAGGAGGAGAAGAAGAAGAAGAAGAAGGAAGGCAGCTCCTGGATGACATAGACAGACATCTGACAGGAAGTGGAATTGGGCGAGGATTGAGCCAAGTTGCCAGCCAACAATGTAGCCATGCATAGTGATACTGGGTTCGGACACCAATAGTTTTTGCAGAAATTCATGAGACTTTCTCAGGACCCCCCTCTTCCCAGCTACATCTATATCTGTTCATGAGACTCTCTCAGGACCCCCCTCTTCCCAGCTACATCTATATCTGTTCATGAGACTCTCTCAGGACCCCCCTCTTCCCAGCTACATCTATATCTGTTCATGAGACTTTCTCAGGACCCCCCTCTTCCCAGCTACATCTATATCTGTTCATGAGACTTTCTCAGGACCCCCCTCTTCCCAGCTACATCTATATATGTTCATGAGACTTTCTCAGGACCCCCCTCTTCCCAGCTACATCTATATCTGACACGAATTTTGTCCAAAATGGCTAATAATTCACTTGTATAATTGTTTATTAAAGAGTGAAATTACTGTCTGGAACTAAATCGGTAACTTTTGGGCACCAACAGCTTTTGGAGAAATTTCACAGAAAAATCTTAATCTAATTGATTTGTCAGTCTCCAGTTCTGGCCTTTAGCTTGCTCCAAACTGCAACATTATTCACCTAAAATATCTATTCATGTGTCTCCTCATATGCTGTTGTTTGCGTTCACCAGCTGTAAACTCTGGTAGAAAGACCTGGTTGTTCGTCCATTTCAGGACTTCAGCTTTGTTCCAGGACCTGAGTCTCATGTGTACATTCGTTTTACAGATCTGGCTTATTTGTATGCAGACTGCTGGTTCCTTGCTTCTCAGGCAGATACACTCCGAATCTGAAGGAAGCCCCCCCCCCCCCCTTCCCCCCACCCAATAAGTCACCTCTTATGACATGCTTGTTGGGGAGACAGTGGGTCTATTCATGTTTACCCCAACAAAGGGGTCCTGGAACCCTCACAGGGACGGATATTCATAGGTGATATTATTGTTTAGGATCAAAGTGCAGTGTCTGGATCCACATGGAATGACAACAACTAATGCTGCCCAATGTCTGGGATCAAAGTGCAGTGTCTGGATCCACACGGACTGACATTAGCTGATGGCACACGGACTGACAACAGCCGATGGCATATGAACTGACAACAGCCGATGGCACATGGACTGACAAAAGTCGATGGCACATGAACTGACAATAGCTGATGGCACATGGACTGACAACAGCCGATGGCACACGGACTAACAACAGCCGATGGCATATGAACTGACAACAGCTGATGGCACATGGACTGACAAAAGTCAATGGCACATGGACTGACAACAGCCGATGGCACACGGAATGACAACAGCCGATGGCACATGGAATGACAACAGCTGATGGCACATGGACTGACAACAGCTGATGGCACATGGACTGACAACAGCTGATGGCACATGGACTGACAACGGACTGACAACAGCCAATGGCACACGGAATGACAACAGCCGATGGCACAGAGAATGACAACAGCCGATGGCACACAGAATGACAACAGCTGACAGCACACGGACTGACAATGGACTGACAACAGCCGATGGCACACAGAATGACAACAGCTGATGGCACACGGACTGACAACAGCCGATGGCACACAGAATGACAACAGCCGATGGCACACAGAATGACAACAGCCAATGGCACATGGACTGGCAACAGCCAATGGCACAGGGAATGACAACAGCCGATGGCACACAGAATGACAACAGCTGATGGCACATGGACTGACAATGGACTGACAACAGCCGATGGCACATGGAATTACAACAGCCGATGGCACACAGAATGACAAAAGCTGATGGCACACGGACTGACAACGGACTGACAACAGCCGATGGCACACGGAATTACAACTGCCGATGGCACACAGAATGACAACAGCCAATGGCACATGGACTGACAACAGCCGATGGCACAGAGAATGACAACAGCCGATGGCACACAGAATGACAACAGCTGATGGCACACGGACTGACAATGGACTGACAACAGCCGATGGCACACAGAATGACAACAGCTGATGGCACACGGACTGACAACAGCCGATGGCACACAGAATGACAACAGCCGATGGCACACAGAATGACAACAGCCAATGGCACATGGACTGGCAACAGCCAATGGCACAGGGAATGACAACAGCCGATGGCACACAGAATGACAACAGCTGATGGCACATGGACTGACAATGGACTGACAACAGCCGATGGCACATGGAATTACAACAGCCGATGGCACACAGAATGACAAAAGCTGATGGCACACGAACTGACAACGGACTGACAACAGCCGATGGCACACGGAATTACAACTGCCGATGGCACACAGAATGAAAACAGCTGATGCACACGGACTGACAACAGCTAATGGCACACAGAATGACAACAGCCAATGGCACATGGACTGACAACAGCCGATGGCACATGGACTGACAACAGCCGATGGCACACGGAATGACAACTTCTGATGGCACATGGAATGACAACAGCTGATGGCACACGGAACGAAAACAGCCGATGGCACACAGAATGACAACAGCTGATGCACATGGACTGACAACAGCTAATGGCACACAGAATGACAACAGCTAATGGCACATGGACTGACAACAGCCAATGGCACATGGACTGACAACAGCCGATGGCACACGGAATGACAACTTCTGATGGCACATGGAATGGAATAACAACAGCTGATGGCACACGGAACGAAAACAGCCGATGGCACACGGAATGACAACAGCCGATGGCACACGGAATGACAACAGCCAATGGCACATAGAATGACAACAGCCAATGGCACATAGAATGACAACAGCTGATGGCACACAGAATGACAACAGCTGATGGCACACGGACTGACAACAGCCGATGGCACATGGACTGACAACAGTCGATGCCACCCAACAAATCACACAGACTGACAACAACCGATGCCACTCAACAAATCACACAGACTAACAACAGCCGATGCCACCCAACAAATCACAAACTGTTTCTCCGCTCAGACCAAAGTGACCTCACCTGATGAGCTGGACATAATTCCCAGGGAAGACGCCGGCTACACTTGTACGCAAACAGGAACCTCTGTACCAGCCATCCTGGCATTTCTCCATGACCGTGTACAGGTCTCCCTTGTGGAGTTCTAGTTCATCATCTTTCCGAGGTTTGTAATTATACAAGGCGATATACCTGGCGAGCATTTGTCAGTTACAATAGGTAAATTTTAATTTGTCATGAGAAGTGAAGCTGGGATATATTTTAAGTAATGGTAGGTATAAGGGCAAACCGGGATAAAAGACAACAGAGATACAATACAAAAGAAAGAAAAAGACTAATTTGCATATAATTATGATAAACAAGGATTTTAATCATCATCATCATCATCATCATTGTAAGTCTGTTGTGCCATTTTATGTCACATAGGGCTTGCAGTCTAGTCTTCCATTTTGTTCTATCCTGTGCAGTCTCTTCGACATTATGGACGGAATCCAGCCCAGCACTTTTAGCCTCTCATATCAGTGTTCGTTTTAGGGTTTCTTTTGGATGTCCTCAGTTCCTCAACCCCTTTATTTCCCATTGTAGTGCCTGCTTCAGCAGATGAACCAATCAGAGCGAGAGTTGGCGAGGAGCACGCTACTGCAGGCTGGTGGACAAGGCACATGAAGGAGAAGAGGATCTGAGAGCGTCTTGAGGAAGAGGGCGGTAGAAGGGAGAGAATGAGTAGAAGGTAGAGATGGCGAAAAAGCAGAAAAAAGAAAGAGAAGCAAGAGAGAAAAAAGAGAAGAAGCATAAAGAGAAAAAGGGCGGAGGAGTGAAGGAGGAGGAAGAAAGAGAAGAAGAAGAAACAAAAGTATAATCATCATGGTCACTACACTCACTGCTGACACAAAGACACAATACTTCTGATTTCAAATTTGACAACACCTGAAAAATCTTCTTCTTTTTTGGCATTAAGGGTTTACATTGGAAGTCAGAGCGCATCTGCCTGAGAGACACGGAACAAACAGTCTGCACACAAATGAGCCAGATCTGCAAAACAGATACAGATTCCAAATGTCAAGTTCTGGAACATGACCAAAGTCCAGAAGAGGACGAACAACCAGAACTTTCCTGTTGGATTTTACAATCAATGAACGCTAAGAAGAAAAAGAAATTAGAACTAACCTCTAACAAGCATGTCATAAAGGGCAACAAATTAGGGTTCGCTGAAATCGGGTGTGATGGGCTAAAAGGTACCAATTCTGCAACCTAGCTGTAAACCACAACACAGCAGGCTCACAGCCCTTTAAAGGGTGAGTGCATAAAATAATGCAACAAAACACATCAAAAGCAAATAAAAAATACCCTTCTCCACATCGTCAGGCGTATTGGGCATATAGTCCGAGCTAGGCCTATATTTTATAGACCAATCAGCACTCAGTGGGTGATGTGGTCAACATCACGCCGGTTGCCTTCACTTCCCACAACTTGACCGGATACCCACTCTAGGCTGGGTCGACCAGCAGCCTAGATCCCTTCTGAAAAGAAATAGTCTGACTTAATGTGGATTTGAACCTACACAGTTTACGCGCGAGGCGAGCATCTAACCACTACACCACCGTGGCTCCCCTGAACCAAAAAATGAAACCACTAATAGGTTAACAAATGAGAACCAAACAACAAAAACAGGAAATATGTTAAACAAAAGCACTTACACAGGGGTTGTCAGAGATCCTGACTGTGAATTACTGGATGAACTTGGAGCTGTAGAAGCATCAACTGTTGCCTCTGGTATTGTTACAGGTGATGATGGAGTCTACAAGAATCAACCAATAAATTTTTTTGGTGATAAATGTATTTCAATCAAATACTTACAAAACTCAGGGGGCTGAGCGGTCACGAGGTATGTTGTCCGCCTCGACTGCTGAAGGTCCAGCGTTCAAGCCCCAGTGAAGGCTGGGATTTTTTCATGTGGACTTCTAGTAATTTCCCCTGGTCTCGGGTTATCAGATAGGACGCCCGTGTGTATTGTTGCGCATGTAAAAAATCCCTTGGCAGTTGGAAATCGAAAAGAGTAGCATAAAAGTGCTGCCAAGGTAAGATTTGGAGTCAAAATCTTTCCCAAATTGTCAAGAGTCCTTGCTGGTGCATTGGAGTTCATGCACTGCACCGTCTTCAGACTCAGGCTTGAGTTAGAAGTAGAACGGAGCACTTATGGATTACACCCATGTGCCATGATGTTGATCCATGGAATAAACATAAACAAACTTGCAAAACTATATATCTGAGGGGGCTTTGAAAAAAACGTAACAGTGTGATAGAAATTACAATAACCATGTTACTGCATTGTAACCTATCAAAATTATGGTGATGATGAAGAGGGTTGGGATGATGATGATGATAGTGATCATGAAGATGTTGAGGCTGACGATGGTGACACACAAACGCAACACCTTACTTACATTTCTTTGAGATGTCAAAGTAACAGGCTGAGTCTCCGTTACTAGTGATGAAGGTAGTGATGACGATGGCGGTAAACACAAATTTATTTCTGAGCTGACTAGAGCCAAAGCACCTTCCTCTGAGAGTGTCACTTCAACAGAGTGCCTCTGTGGTATGTGGTCATTGTACGTGGCTGCTGCAACAAATGGTGATGACATCGAAGTGGAAGTGAATGAATGGCGTTTGTTCGGTGGCAACACCTCAGGCGTCGCTGCCGGTGCCGAGGTAGTGGCCACAAAAAGTTCATGCTGACAGTTGCCAGTTAACACAGCCTGACCATCTGGCAACAGCCCATCTGCTGCGGCATCTAACGTTAATACTTTTGTTTGATCATCTACGGAATTTGTGATTAGTAAAGCATCATCGGTGATGAGGTCGGATGAGCTGATGGTGCTACCTCCGGCAGAAGTGGTGCAGTTGGAAGAGGCGGAAGTGATGTTGCTGGCATCACCTCTGTTTGAGCCCACTGAAACGGCCGACGAAACAATCACACTCGAAGAGCTCACTGGAGTATTTGGCGATAACGTTAATCCAGGACTGATAGTCAAATTTGATTTTGTGTTTATCAAACTTCTGGCAGCTTCATTTAACTGCAGAGTCCCAGAATTGTAGAGGAAAACAAAAACATATGCATTAGTAAATGATGAAATTCACAAAGACTTCTTATCTGAAAGCAAACATATAGGCATTAATATATAATACAAAGCATAAACTGTAATTCACAAAGATTTTGACTGACTACTTCAAAAGCATAAACAAAACATACGTGCTTACATTCTTTTAAATTTCTTTTTCGCGTTCACCGGCTGTAAACTCCAGCGAAAAGTTCTGGTTGTTCGTCCACTTCTGGACTCTAGTCTTGTTACAGAAAAATAGTGTTGCATGCGCATCCATTTCACAGGTCTGGCTCATTTGCATGCAAACTGTTGGTTCCATGCCTCTCAGGCAGATATACTCCGACTTCGAAGGACGTTCCTAATTAGTCTAATCCTACGACATGCTTTCCGACAGGCAATGGGTCTATCTATGTAGGGTCCCGGAAACCATGCAGGGAAACACTCTTATTATCTCCACAGTCCTCAAGACAGAAGAAACAGCTGAACTGATCACAGAAATTAAAGACAGACAGACAATGCTTATCAGACATGTTATGAGAAGGAAGGACTCAAGAACTTGGCAACAACTGACAAGAATGATGGAAAAACAAGAAGGGGAAGACTAAAGACGATAAATACCTAGATGGCTCAGCCACACAGTTGGGGGGTGAGACAAGAACAGTTGGCTCATCTGTGATTCTGACTCTAGTACCACTGCTTTTTTATAACACTGCTCTCTGTGGTGTCCTGTCTGATGCCAGTCTTATCACATGGCCAAACCACTTGACCTGGTCTAACTATAAAGTTCAGAATTGGTTCTGTCAATAAATTCAACTCTCACTAATGTTTAAAACTGCCCGAAAAACAAATAAACCCTCATAAATGTTAACGGAAATATTCCTAAATATACAAACCTTAACAAATGTTAACGGAAATATTCCTAAATATACAAACCTTAACAAATGTCAACGGAAATATTCCTAAATGTACAAACCTTAACAAATGTTAACAAAAATATTCCTAAATATACAAACCTTAACAAATGTTAACGGAAATATTCCTATCTTGTCTCCTTTCCTCCCCTCCAGCCAGTTGTCATCCACCCGCCTTATCACAGTCAGTATTTCTTCCTGCAACAATCAAGGTACAACAGGACAACTGATACAATCCAAGTGCAAACAAATGGCACTGAGCCACTCAGGAGAAGAGTAAAAGAAAACATTATAGGTAAATAGTAAAATATGCAATAAGAAAACTGCTGTGATACTTGCTTTTTCTGATACTCAGTGTTAATGATCTTCTCTTGCTGCTTAATGCTAAGTACTCTTTGTAGGCTTCAGAGAGCTGTGATAGAAGGAGCAGTGGCAAACCTCTAAGAGTGCTGATATAAGATACTGAAGCACTGGCAATGAAAGCACATCTGTTAGTTGCGTATCCTTTACAGGACATTGCAGAACCAACCTAGCATTTGTTCTGCTGTTGTGGTTTTTCTTGGCAAATGTTACATTCAGTAGTTTGCCCCTGCTTTCCGAATGGTCAGCTCTTGGTACCACTGTCAAAACCAACGCAAGACAAACCATCCATAGATGGATCGAACCCAGCATCACGGCATTACAAAAGGAAATGGCACACAAGATTGAAGAATTCTGCTAGAGAAAAAGAGACTTTCTGGTTTGCTGTGAAGAAAGTGACATTCTGTAAAGGACCTGCTTATTGGTGATTCTTTGTAGGCATTGCATGTGAAAGCTATTTTACCGTCTTTCCTGGTAGAAATAAGTCGACCAAGTATCCTTACCGTAAACACATGCAAATCAGAGATATCTATGTTCTACTACAGTAAATCATTTAATCAATCAGGTGTCGTTTCTAAAAACGAAGGCTGCAACAGGCGTACAAGATTTTGTCTCTCGTCTTGGTTGAAAGCCCTGCTCATTCACCTCTTGGTAACACCCTCGTACTTGTACCGCTGTCTACCTTTGACTCGCTTTTCACTTTTCCTTCCTGCATGGTGTTTACAAGAATGTCATATCTTTTAGTGTGACTGATATATTTCTTCTTCTTTTTCTAGCCCCCAGTGGAGCACAGGACCTCAACCAACTCGTCCTATCCGTGTCCTCTCCATCTTGTTAACTTCACTCTCTAGCACCCTTCTTCCTTTTTTTCTATGTCCCTGTGAGTTCCAGTACAAAGACATTCTAGTTATATTGTTCTCAGGTTTTCTCAGCTGACATATTTCACCTGTCTATTATTTCCTTCAACAAATATCTGGTCATTCCCAGTCTTTCCAAAGACATTGTATTTGACTGATGTTGTTTCCATGAAATCTGACATACTTGTCCGTATATATCAATGAACAAACAAACTTTATTTTCAACGAGTCAAGAATTGGACACACAGGTACGTCTCACACTGTGCCCCTCCTAAATTTCATACATCATTTCATACATACAACTTTTATCACAGCAATCTTCATTCTTTTCCAGATGGCGTTTCTTCTGAATATATGGCAAGACCCCCATGCCCCCCCCCCCCCCCCAACATATAATTAAAAGCACATATTATTCATTAGATTTTTAACGGTAGGTGAATAAACTGCTCATTAAAACAAAACAAAACTCCTTAGCTTTTCGATTTATAAACCCGTTTTATTTCTGACAGATGCAAGAATGGTGCTTCAGGCACTCCAATCTAGAAAGCTACCTAGTATACTAAAACTACTCTCCAAACTAGGCAACCGGTAGTAAGGTAACTGTGCAATGGATACCATCCCACTGTTGAGTTCCTGGAAATGAAAGTGCTGATAAAGTAGCTAGTATGTATTAGGGTTCGTGGTATTTTTTGATTTGCTGTAGCAGATAGTTCCACAGCTGAGCTGCGGAATACAGTAGGCCGATTTTGTATAGGTCTATCTTAGGTTTGGTATATCTTTCTTATATTTAAACGACGGCCAAATGTAATCTAGAACATTTTGCGATAATCTCCAGAACTTCATTTTATTGTCTCACTGCTTGTCCATTTTCCTGATTTCCACAAATATAGTAGAGCTGACGGGAGCCGCCATGATGTAGTGGCTAGATGCCCCCCTGCGGATCAGAAGGTCGTGGGTTGACACCCCTACTGAGCCCGACTTTTTTTTTAAATATAAAAATTACCTTATCTCCCAGATCAACCCAGGCTTAAATGGGTACCAGGAATAGTCCTGGAAAGTAAAGGCGGCCGCCATGATGTTGACCATATGCCCCACAGCCCTACATGCCCAGTATGACTGTAGGCATGAAAAGGGGTTATTTACTTTATTTTAGTAGAGCTAAGAATTTGCAACATTTTATTTTAATCATTATTTCCATGAAAAAAATAAGCAACATACTTTTCTGAATTTTGCTTCCTGGGGGAGCCGGACTTTATTCAAAAATGACCTTGACTCCCAGGTCGGCCCAGCCTTGAATGGGTACCGGGTGCAGTTCTGGGAAGTAAAGACGGCCGGCGTGATGCTGACCACATCACCCATCATGTGCCGATTGGTCTATACAAATATAGGTCCAGCCCTCTACGCCTAAAGGCGTGAAAAAGGGACCTTTACTTTACTTACTTTTCTGAATGACAAACAGTCTTTCTCGCCCTCATCTCGAAGTTCAAAATCATACAGCGCTACACACTGTGGAATCTGAGGCAGGGGAACCAGGACCTGGCAATTCAGAAAGTAGAGTATATTAGTTTCAAGATTCTAGCATGATCAGGTATCTTGGTTTCAGAACAATACATTTTTATAATCCTAAGCAGACAAGTTCCATGCTTCACAAATCTTCTTCTTCCCATTCAAAAAAAAAGTTAAAAAAAGTAAAGATCCCTTTTCACGCCTTTCGGCACATCGGGCATATGGGCAGAGCGTCCCATATTTTTACAGACCATCAGCACTCTGTGGGTAATGTGGTCAGCATTACGCCGGCTGTCTTTACTTTCCCAGGACAGCCCATCATGGTACCCATTTTAGGCTGGGTCGACCTGCGACGTCCCATACCAGGATAAAAATCCACGCAGCCTGCAGTGGGTTTCGATCGCGGTATGTCTTCCCAATCACTAGCTGTAAACTCTACAGAAATGTTGTTTATCTACTTCTGGACTTCAGGGGGCCGGGTTAGCGCAGTCGATAGGAGACTCGCTTTCAATCCAGCTGTGACTTGCTGCAGCCCATGGCCGGTGTTCGAAACCGGGCGGTTCCCGGGGTTCACCCAGCCTCTAGGAAATGGGTACCGAGTTAACACTTTAGGGTCAATGGAGGAACGTCGCTGTAGCTACGGAGTTTCGTGCGGACTGCCACACAGGCGGACAGTTTCTTAATCAGCTGTCCGTACTGGTAGCAGAGCACTTATGGTTTATAACCGTGTGCAATGAAGCTGGCTCACATCTCCCGACTTTACCTTTATTTTATTTTTTTTTATTAACTTCTGTACTTTAGTTGTGTTTCAGAACCTCAGTTTTGCGTGTATGCCCATTTTACTGATCTGGCTTATTTTTCCAGGCGGATACACTCAGACTCTGAAATAAACACCCCCTAATTAGTTTACTTTTACCACATACTTGTTAGGGGTAGGGGAGGAGGGAAAGGGTGCGTGTTTTGCTATCCCCCCCCCCCCACCACAAGGTGGGCCTGGAACCCAGACAGACAGGGAACTTCATAAATGATTAGTACCAAGACTATGAGAAGATCAGATTCAACATCTCATTCTATAAAATATGAAACTTTTAGCTATAAAATTCGAATTGACTTCATGGTTCATTTTAAAGATCACCTTCAGCGTTCATAGGACATGCCCATAAGTGATCCGCTCTTCATCCTGAATTGGCCTCCAAGGGTTTCTAGGCTAACAACCCCCATTCTGTTCTGTCTGATGTAACGACAGGTGGCTCCTGCATGGTTTACCTGTCTCGCTGCTCCAATTGGTCCTCCCAGGTATGCAGTCTATTCAGTAAAAAATCATTTTCCAACTGAAAGCCTCACATGGTAGCTATAACTCTCATTGCAGAAAAACCCTTTCTGGCCTTGTTGATCATAGTATCAACTTGGAATCTGCAGCTAAGGCTCCGATCAAAACTCACTCCCAGGTATTTTTAAAAGTTCAGTCCTTGCTATATCTTTACCATTCACATACACAGAGGGCATTATTGTGCATACTGTGTGGTGAATCAAGTTGCAGACCCTTCTGAAGAGTTAATCTATGCTCTGTAGGTTTGACACCAATCTGCTATGCGTCCAAGTTCGTTCTAGAGTTCTATAATTCTGCCACTGTTCTTGCCTTGGCGCCACTGTTCTTGCCTTGGCGCCACTGTTCTTGCCTTGGCAGTATACTAGTATGTCATCAGCATATTAGTCTTCTTCTTCACGTTCACCGGCTGTAAACTCCGGCAGAAAGTTATTCGTCCACTTCTGGACTGCAGTCCTGTTCCAAAACCTGAGTGTTGCGTGTGCATCCGTTTGATAGATCTGTATGCAAACTGTTGGTTCCTTGCCTCTCAGGCAGGTGCACTCCGACTTCGAAGAAAGCTACCAATTAGTCGACTCTTACAACATGCTTTTGGATAGGCAGTGGGTCTATTCTTGTTTTTCCCATAGTAGGGCCCCAGAACCCACACGGGGGCATATGAGAGAGTTCTTCCTTCACCTGTGATTTGATATTTTTCACCTCAATAGTGAAAATACTGAAAAGGGTTGGGTATAAGTTGACATCTGAGGCAATCCTGGGTGTATGGTTTTCAACTCAGAGATCCATTTTCCACATTTGAAAACAACCAGTGGGTGTATGGTTTTCAACTCAGAGATCCATTTTCCACATTTGAAAACAACCAGTCTCTTGGAGACTGCTGCTGCTATCAATTTAATGAGTGTGGGGGAAATTTTGATATTTAGAAGCTGGTGTATGAGTTTTTCAAAGGGAACCGTGTTGCCTGCATCTTCCAAGTCTAGCGCCACTGCACGTATCCACCCCTGCACGGAAACCATCACAGACATTGTACGCAAAAACCGCAACATTACACCATGTATCCCTATGTGGTTGATATCCTCCCAATGTTGGTGGTAGTCTACCTGTTAATTTCTAATTTAGAGACTTCAGAGACTATTCAATGTAAAAAAAAAAAAAAATTTAAACTTTAATTAAACAATTAACTTTAAGATTCAAGTTTATTTTCAATATTCTATTCACTAACAACTGCTTTTAAAATTCTAGTTAATTTTCCAGATGCTATTAATAGAAGATTTTGGTTTTAAACTAGGTGTAAATTTAAGTTTTTTTTCAAGATTTTACTCAATAACGATAAAACAATAAGCTTTAAAATTCAAGTTTATTTTCAAGATTTTACTCAATAATGATAAAACAATAAGCTTTAAAATTTAAGTTTTTTTTCAAGATTTTACTCAATAAAAATAACACAATTAGTTTTAAAATTCAAGTTTATTTTCAAGATTTTACTCCATAAAGATAAAACAATTAGCTTTATTTATAATTCAAGTTTATTTTCAAGATTTTGCAAACATCTCCTACCTGTACAAAGTTTGCAGGGAAATATCCGAGGCGCCCATCAATTTCACCCTGAAACCAGTTGTCATCAATCTTTCTTCGTAAAACTATCACATCACCTTTCTTAAAGGTCAGGTCACTGAAATACAATCAAGTGTCATAAATATTTAAAGCATCACTGCTACGAGAACTGGTTTTGTTATATTGTATTTCAACAAATACAGCACTGAACCAAATAAAATGTGTCTTTACACTTCACTTTTAAGTTTAAATCAAAATCAAAAGGATGAATTTCACTGCATTAAGTTTCATCCCACATGGCTCGGCCTCTCTCAATAGAAAGGCTAGCCACCAGCCAATAGTGCCAAACAAAGCACGAACTCTGTAGCTACTGTGACCATCCCCATGAATCTCCATAAGAATCTGCACCCGTGAGCCGAACAACAAAATTGTGAAATCAACCTATAACCTTCACAGCACAAGGCAGATGGCTTGATTTTCAAGTCAGCTGCGGCAGCGAAGAGGCTAAACACTTCCCTGCTGACCCGAAAGTTTTGAATTCAAATCTACATAGGAGCAGTTTTTATTTTTTCAAAGGTGACCATGGTTCCCAGGTCAGCCTGGCATAAAACGAGTAGCATGAAGCGGTGCCTGGGAACTACAGGCAGCTGTTTTTGGAGATTTTTTTTTTCAACATTACTTCAGTTATCTGCCATAAGCAATGGAAGCACAGTGGTTAGCACCACTGCCTGCCGGTTAGGTCACCAGGAAATACCCTGGAAAGTAAAGATAGCCATGATAGTGATCACATCACTTAGTGAATGCCAACTGACCTACACATACACAGGGCTAAAAAACCAGATACCCAATAACCTCTTCTTGGAGGTGAGGAAATTAAAGCTGATTCAAATAAATAAAAATAATACTGCAGGAGAATTTCATTCTATTTTTCTGTTAGACGTGTTTCTATAAATTCAAGTATGTCTACAAGAGCTATGTTTTATCAATGTCTGTGCTCTGCAGATAGCTAACACACTCAATAATTCACAAATGATATCCAAACTATATGGGTACTTACTCCTTTTCAGATGAATCATAATTATACAATGCCTTGGCACATGACTGGGCGCCCTGAAAAAACAATTGTGTTTAAAATGTTAATGCTGTTACAACAGGTCTTCTTCTTGTCTCTCCAAGTAAGTACAGTACTTATCCGTTTACAAGGTACTTCCTTGTGTAAGACGCCCCCCCCCCCCACCCTTTTTTTTTAAGTTTAAGTATCCAGAAACCATGAGTTGTTAACCCTTTGGCTCGGTACTATGGATATCGCAACCCTTCGGCCTTGATTCCATGATAGATACCGTAAATCTGGGAGAAATGTGGCTTTTCTGCCTACCCATGGGCGTGAACCCGGACCACTAAGGAGTTTGTCACCCGGTCACTGCAAAGTCAGGTTTAACCAACTATGCTAGCGAGCCAGGCAGGGCAAGACCCACCCATAAAAACTGAACGCAATAATTCAGGAAAAAAACTCTTGCACCCATTTCAATACATTAAGTCTCTAAATCCGGTCATTTTGCACTTTTCCATGTTTTGCACACTTTCCTTTGTTCCTTTTGCACAAAACATCCAGATGAGACCGTCAAAGCCTTAAGGATTGTTCCCATTGGTGGAGGTCTGAAATGACAGTCTGCTGACCTCCTGACATGCTCTTCCGCATATTTTATCACCTGGAGTTTGAAACTCGCAGTGTAGGAATGCCACTTGCTGTATTTTTCCATACCATTGCAACTATGAATAACATGCATGCCTACATTCCGTTGTACAAGACCCAGCCTAATGTAAGGTCTGTAATGAGAACAAAAGTTTGTCTCATACATGGATAAGTTTGATATGTTACATCTGACTAAGCATACATCTGCCTCAGTTATATGTGTGTCCGGTTTCGGGATGCATCTGTGTAAAAGTTACTTCCCCTAGACTCCATTTAAAGCAGCAGTTCTCAACCTGCCGGTTGCGACCCCTTTTTTTTGGTCGGAAGATCCATTCACAGGGGTCGCCTAAGACCATCGGAAAACACGAATTCGTTGAAGTTATGAAGGAAAATAATTGTTTGGGGGTCGCCACACCATGAGGAACTGTATTAAAGGGTCGCGCAATAGGGAGGTTGAGAGCCAGTGATCTAAAGGAACAAGCTCTATCTACCCAAGGGTAGTTATTCTTTCCCAACTCTGCCATAGCAATAGTCATGTGGCCAGCTGTCTGTGATTTCCAATTGTCAGCTGGTGCTGCAGAATCAGAAGTTCGACAAATGATTCATGACAATTCCCACCCAAGTGATGTGATTATCTATACAGATGGCTCTCCCCCGTGTGGGTTCCGGGGCCCTATTGTGGGGAAAACAAGAATAGACCCACTGCCTCCCCAAAAGCATGTCGTAAGAGTCGACTAACTGGGGAGCTTCCTTTGAAGTCGGAGTGCATCTGCCTGAGAGGCAAGGAACCAGCAGTCTGCATTCAATTGAATCAGATCTGTAAAACTGATGCACATGCAACACTCAGGTTCTGGAGCATGACTGCAGTTCAGTAGTGGACGAACAACCAGAACTTTACGCCAGAGTGTACAGCTGGGGAACACGAAGAAGAAGAAGATGGCTCTGTGTTGAGGGGCAGATGAGGTGTATGGGCAAATGGACATCGCCTAGTGAAGCAAAGCCTTGCATATGATATCACAATGTCTAGTTTGAGAATGGAGGTGGAGGCAGTCTCTGCTGCCTTCCGCTAGCTTGAGAGTCAGCTGTACACACATGCCATTGTTGTAACGGACTCATAGAGCATGTTGAGAAAGGTAAAAACGGGCATTCTTAGTGCAGAGTGGCAAGATTTACTTCAGAGGTCCCAGGTAGTTAGTATCCTTTGGATATTCTCTCCAGGTCACGCTGGTGTGTTCAGAAATGAGCAAGCAGATTTTATGCAACAAATCCATGTCACTGGAGGTTAGGAAAAGAATTGTTGCACAGTATATGGAGCCAGTTTTAACATATGGCTGTGAATGCTGGACAATTAATAACAAAACAAATAATACCTTGCGGCCTTAGTAATGTGGTTTTACAGTAGAATCCTTAGAATTCCTTGAATAGCCAAAAAAGAGCAACCCAGATACTTCAAAAGACATCAGAAAGAGACAGTCATTATTTTATGGCCAAGTTATGAGAAGAAGGAAACTGAAACATGTTGTGACCACTGAAAAAGTGTGTAGAAAGAAAGACAGAGAAAGACAATGTGAGAAGATTTTTTGACAGTCCTGTCATGGCATGGAGGCATGTCTACCCAAACAGATACATGCAGTAGCAGATCACAGGTTGTGGAGAGGCAATATCGTCTATGCCAGTCAGCAAGGTACTTGTTAATAACTAGTCTTAACTTTCCCTGACTCACAATTAATTTTGGATCTCAATTCTCTAAACCTACTTCCTTACTTAGTCGCTCCTCTTCTACCTTGGGATGTAGAGGTTTGCCAGAGAGATCGCCAAACGTCTTTATCAGCTGTTTTCTTTCTGGCTTTGTTCCATTCCAGTCCTCTGTCAGTTAGGGACTGTCGGATGTTGTCTTCCCAGCTCACCCTGGGCCTCCTAGAGGTCTGGTTCCTTGGTTCTTAGCCTCCCATTCTCCCATTCTGCATAAATGTCCAAACCATCACAACTGTGACTGATCCACTCGGGTTTGTAAGGACTGGGTATCAAGATCTTGACGTATTGTCTGATTACGGACTTTGTCCCTTCTTGTCACTTGAACCACCTTCTGAGGCCTGAAGCTGGCTTCTGTGAGCTGTTGTCATTGCCCTTGACTCACACCCATAGGTCAGGACTGGTACACAGGTAGAGCGGTAAACAGCCATTTTCGTCCTCTTGCCAATTTCTCTTTTGCTAAGAAACCCTCGGTGTATGTCCTGGAAGAGTCTCCCAGCAGCTGCTTTTCGTGTAGCCAGCTCAATCTTAATGCCTCCATTTCGGTCAAATACAACTCCAAGGTTTTGAACTGGCTGACCTGCTCTAAACTACAAAGGTCAGATTTTTAAGAGCATGCATCTTTTCCATTGCAACATACGCCTGTGAGACCTGGACACTTACTAAACAAGCGGAACAGCGCATAAATGCATTTGAATATAAATGTTACAGACAGGTTCTAAGAATATCTTGGGTAAAGAAAAGAACAAATGCATCCATACTTCAAGAGCTGAATATTGAAGAGGGTTGGCTAGTAAAGACAATAAAACAAAGAAAATTGAAATATTTTGGTCACTTGAAACGTCATGGAAGTCTAGAGAGAACAATAATGGAGGGGTATATGCCTGGGAAGAGAGGAAGAGGAAGGCCAAGGAGAAGATGGGTGCAGGATGTGGCAGATGATCTCCAGATGGGTGTATCAGACGCAGGACATCTTGCTCAGGATAGGAAGGTTTTCCGGAGGGTTGTTATGGCAGCGAGGTTCAGCGAGGGACATGCTACTGAATGAATGAATGACCTGCTCCAATGCATACTGTCCCATCTCTACACTAACAATCATAAATACATTCTACAAATGATCAAGAACAACAGGATTATGACAAAAACCTATTACCTGTCTGTATGAGTGACTTGAAGAAGGGTCATGTACTAGCTGGCCGGACCCCATTCCCTTAGATGGGCTCGAGCTCAAACTGCCTGGTCCAAGCTGCTTAATGCTACCCCCTGCTGACCTCTGACACTTGGTTTTCAGACCTTCCAATATCCTTACCACGAGAATATTGGTAGGCAGATCTGACACACGAACTGTCACCAGGGCTCTGCATTCTGGACACCTCAGTTCCTGTTTCGTCAGGATAATTTCTTCTAGGCATTTGCGGCAGAAAGTGTGTTGACACGGAAGAACCTTGCAGCTCTGATCAAGACGTTCTAGGCAGACTGAACATTCGAGAAGTTCACTTATCTGTTTCTCATCCATTTAAACCAGAATCCTGAATTCTGTAGTCACCACAGCAGCAACAGCTTCCTCAGCCGAGCCAAACTAACTTCGACTGCTGCTACATATTTACTTTAATTATTTTAAGTCCATAAAAAATTTGACAGTACAAATGTCAACTTCCCATTTTGTTATCTTATTACATTCTCAGGTGTTGGAGTAACAACTGTTCCCATTACCTGAAATAATTCAAGACATTCTTTAATTAATTAATGAACAAGAAAACACTAAGGATGTAGAGGAAAAGTATACTAGATTGCACAATTTACTGCCTGGCATATTATGCTCTATCTTATCAGGTACACACTACAGACAAGATATCAATATATTGTGAAGTATAAAAAAAAAATGCTTTCAATGGAATGCACAAACTACATTGCCTGTTATTTCATCAGATGGAAGATGTCTTTAAAAAGTTAATTGTAGAATAGCTCAAGCAAAGGCAGCATTTTACAAAATGAAGAATATTTTAGGTAATCTTTATTTTTCAATTGAGACGAGAAAGAGATTTTTTTAAAGCTATATAAACCCTATCTTGATATAATGAAGTCAATTATGGACAGTTGGTAGATTAGTAAAAAATTAGTTGGAAGCTGCAGAGATGTGGTTTTATAGACGATATGATTTGATTTGATTTGATTCAAGAACCGACATCACAGCACTCGGGGCATTCCAATAAGTGCTCCGTCCTTATCTTCAGCAGCCAGCGAAGAGTTCCGATACTAATGGTGCCAAGAGCATTCTGATTAAACGTCCGTCTTGCTTTTCCTCTGAGCCTCGAGCATCTGCCAAAACCTCTCGTCACTCCCACCTGCATCTATCTCACCAGACTGTGGTGATCCATCTGCTCCTCCGAACTGTACATGCTCTCCCACAAGGCACTAACCACGTCTGCCTCATCATGTATCAGTATTTCACCAAGTTGAGCAGAGCAAGCCAGTCTGTCCGGCTGTTCATTTCCCAACACACCGGAACACACCGGCCTAACCCGGTGAAAAAATCCAGGCAATACTTCTCACCCGCGTCCTCCGCAGCGAAGCATGCCAATCTGCACGAAGCATACCTGTTCTGATCTTCCTCAGCATGCTTTCTGAATCAGTTACAATCATGATGTGCGTGTGTGTCGTGTTCTCTAGCCAGCGGAAAGCTGCAGTGACCGCCTCCACCTCCATTCTTAAGCTGGATGTTGTGGTATCATATGCTAGGCTCTCCTGCACCAATCATCAACCATTAACTTTTGCTCCGAAGCCCCAAGCACTTCTTTTGCCTCTTGACGAATATATATAGGATGATAATATTTTAGACGAATTATGAGAATACCCTGGACAGATACAAAGAGTAATGAATACGTCTTGAAAGAAACTGACTCACAAAGAGAACTGATTGCCCATATCAGAAAGAGACAATCTACATTCTTTGGTCATGAGAAGGAGAAAATGAGTACATCATGATGGAAGGAAAGTTGGTGGGGAGGAGAGGCAGAGGTCGACAGAGAGAAAAGATGCTGGACAGTTTGACATCATGACATGGAGGATCATCTATGTCAGAGTTAAATGAAAGTACACAAGATAGAAGGTTGTGGATAGACGTGAATACCAACGCCATACAGCATGGCCTTGAAGAAGAAGAAGTTATTTCCCTGTCTGCGATACCATGGAAGTCTAAGACTAATCAGATGTTCCTTCCATTTCATATCACTTCTGAGACTAAAATTAGTCATACAATGGCCTGTAATTTGTCTTTAACTATTTTCATCTCAGAAGGTCATAGTTGATGCCCAAGTGAGTCAACTATGAAATCAACAACAAAAAATGGGTATACTACATCCACAGGGCCTAAATACACATCCCCTGTGGGAGACAAATAACTAAGCAAAAATTGTAAAAGTATAATATTTTGACCGGTGCTAATCAGTAAATCCAATCATACATGGTGTGTTGTTTGGAACTAACAGAGTTCAGTGGAAAGGATTTTTTTTGTGTGCTGCATTTATTCAATACTAGCAGTACCCGGCCACGCTTTGCTGTGGCTCAGCCTGGCGAAATGGGAACAAAAATTGAAGGTGCACGTGTCAAATATGGTTGATATCACAATCGTTGTCTGCGCAGATATACAGATAGTCTTATATGCGACTCTAGAACACGCAGCATATAAGTGTCTTTATACAAGCGGTGGTTTAAATTGTATTATTAGGACTTAAAAAGAAAGTTTTTTTGTGTACCACATGCTAAAGTTTTTTTTTTTTTTTTTCAACAGCTGAAAGTAAAGCTTACTACTGTGTTTCTAAATGACCAACAGACCCGTAAAAAAAAAAAACATGCAAACAGTCAAGGAAGTGTTATTAACATTTAAATAATTTTTAAAATATACCAAAATATTCCCAACAATAAACTGTCATAAATATTGTCTGTAATCGTATTATTTAAATTTACAACATCTAGCGGAAGAATGGAGGTGGATGAGGTCAATGCAGCTTACCGGTGGCTAGAGAATAAGATACATACACATGTCGTAATTGTAACGAACTCTGAAAGCATGCTGATAAAGGTGAGGGCAGGATTGCTTTGAGCATGATGGCAAGCTTCACTTGCAAGGTCACAGGTAGTGAGCATACTTTAGATCTTTTTCCAGCCAGTGTGGTGGGGAATGAACAGGCAGAGTGACTGGCTGGATCTGCACCCCTGGGTGGTGAACTGATAGATAAAAAGGCAGATGCGGTCAGAGCCCTCTGGGAACAAGCAACAAAGTCAGAAGACAAACTAGATTATTATGGGCTGGAGAGATTGATGCAACTGTGTGGGAATAGAGGAGGGTTCAGCCAGCACACTACGCTAGTAGTGGTGGTTTGGTAACTTATCAGAGCTCCACTGACTATTCCGATATATTGTTTCATTGCTTAATTAATCAACAGGTCCTTAAAGTACAGACAGGACAGAAGACAATTTCAATTTTCAAATCAATGCATATTTAATATTTATTATTCAATTGTTCAGGTGTTCAGTAGTTCTAAAATTGGCTTGATAATTAAATATTTGAATGTCAATATATATTTCATCCTGTCTTCTGCATCATACGATGATCCATTTGAATTTTTAGAAGAGTAAAATTCCAACAAATTCTATCCACTATCCTATCCCATCAGGTATTGTCTAGGCATTAAGCCTTCACTTTCAGTGTTGTGTGTTGAGGTAAGCTTGTAACGGCTTGTTGATTGTTGCTGTCTCCCGCCGCATCAGGTCAGTAAGTAAGTACTTCTACTCCTCAGATAACAGTATTTTCAATTTTTCTTTCCTTCCACAGTTACCGTTTCAACAATACAAAAACCAATGTAAGCATTAACAAGAACCTTATTAAAACTTTCAATTTATCATATTTATAATCGAAGTTCATAGAACCGGACAAAAGACAGGAAATCAGAAATCACTAAATAAATGACCAAATATAGTGAATTTATTTCAAAATATGAAACGAAACTGGAAAATCTTCCGCACAAATCACGTTCCACTAAAACATAGCTTATAAAATACAAAACTGTGATACTTATACTTGCATAACATAACACTTGTGTCGAGAATATGACATATTTATATTATTATAAAAAGAAAATTTAAAAAAATTATTATTCATTAGGAAAGTAAAATTATCACCAAAACAGTTTTTCGGTCGCCATCTTGGACCGGAAATGAATCGTAAGTTATCGGTCGCACGTCAATCGGGTCGCATTATTACTCACTGTGGGGGACACTGATGCTCTTATGTAATTTATATTTCTCGTCCTTTTTAGGATGAAATGTTTCATTATTTGAAGCCCTACTCTGGCTCTTGCCAGGGGCCGCAATATAGCCTAGCCATAAATATGGCCTAAAGGCTGAACGCGGTTTCTGGGACCTCTCCACGGTGATCCTCACCCTCATGGTGGCACAGTGTGTCATCGGGTGTTTATCACTTGTGTGATGTCCTGATGGGGTAGAAAGTAAGTCAGTCGACTGATGCTCCCTATGTGGAGGCTGCGAAGATGTGGTTTTATAGACGAATTATGAGAATACCATGGACAGGTAAAAAGAGTAATGAAGACGTCTTGACAGAAACTTGATCACGAAGAGAACTGATTGCCCATATCAGAAAGAAAGAGACAATCTAGCTTCTTTAGTCATGTGATGAGAACAAGAAAACTGAAGTGCATCGTGATGGTAGGAAAATTTGAGGGAAGGAGAGGCAGAGGGAGACCGAGAGAACAGATACTGGACAGTTTGACATCATGGCATGGAAGATCATCTGTGTCAAAGTTGACTGAAAGTACACGAGACACAAGGTTGTGAATGGAGATGATACCAACGCCACACGGTATTTTTAGAAGAAGTTGAAGACAGTGTAGAGCCTTGAAAGCCTGGGAAAGACAGTTCTAATGCCTCCAACTACAGACCGATCAGCCTCACAAGTTGTCTCTGTAAAACAATGGAGCGCATCACCAACCTCAGCTACAGTGGTACATTGAAATGTTGAGCTATTTACAGATTCTCGAAATAAAATAATAGATCGAGAAGAAATTGTATCCTATAAAATGTGAACATCAAGGAAGATTGGCTTGTAAACAGCATCCTGTCCACTGAAATTACAATACGTTGGTCATATCATACGCCATGGCGGGTTGGGTAGAATAAAAGGGCATTATTAATAGGGCATGGTATAATATTATAACTATCTTGGAACAGTCCTAACATCTGATGCAAGATGCCTTGCAAAAGTAGAGTGAGAATTGTCCTGGCAAAAGTAGCCTTTAGCAAGATGCGAAACATTCAGTAAGAAGATGTAAATCGCAGTAAAAAGAAGAAAAAAAAAACACTGTAAGGGCAGGGATTTTTTCACGTGGCCTTGGACTTCTAGTAACCCCCCCCCCCCCCACCCCCGCCCCCGGTCTCTGGGTAGTGAGATCGGACGCCCGTGTGCATTGTTGCCAACGTAAAATATTCCCTTGGCAGCTG